TTTTTTTTTTTTTTTTTGGTACGGAAGATCAAACTCGGGTCCTTGCGCTTATGAGGGAGGCAGTGAAACCACTGAGCTAAATCCCCGGCCCTCTTTCTTGCTTGCTTTCTTGCTTTTTTTGTTTTTTGAGACAGGGTCTCTCTTTGTAGGTCAGGGTGGCCTCAAACTCTCGGCAGTCCTCCTGCATCAGCCTCCCAAGTGCTGGAATTACAGGTGTGCACCACCACACTCAGCTCTAGTGTCTTTTAAATGTGATTGTAACAACTTATTCTACTAAAGTCAGACAAGCTCCCTTACTATCCTCCCAACTCCTCTTCCCCCTACCCTTTTCCCCACCTCCCACCCCTACTCCCTGACCCCCATACTGGGAATCAAACCCAAGAACCATCTCCTACTGTATCCTCCTAGCTATATCCTCAGTAGGGTGTTTTTGTTTTTTTTAGGTAGGGTCTTGTTAAATTGCTTAGTCTGGCCTTCAGCTTGTAGTCTTCCTGCCTCAGCCTCATGAGTAGGTGGGATTACAAGTACATGCTACCATACCTGGCTTCATTATTCCCTTAGTTCATCCTTGTTTTCATATCTTTGCTCATGGTATTCATTTACTTTTTAAATAACTACGGCTTGTATTAGGAAATAGTGCTTTTATTTTACCTTAGTTCTCAGGGAATTTTAGAACCTCATTTGAAAAACAAGACCTCATAAGAAATCCCATTCAAATAAGATATAATAAGCTTGAAATGCCTCCGTGTTTGTGTGTAATGAATAGCTACAAAGTACAAACAGCATTTTTCTCTAGCTAAATTTGAGAGTCACAGTCTTGGATAAAAGTTTTGTTTGGTCTCTGCACAGGCACTTACAGCCACAGAGTGCCGCTGCACAAACCCACGGACTGGGAGAAGAAGATCCTGATATGGTCAGGTCGCTTCAAGAGCAAGGACCAAATTCCAGAGGCTATCTCGTGAGTTCTAAACCTGGGCTTACAAGCAGCTTCCACTTCTAAATGACCTGTTTTAAGGGAAAAGCAGTACCTCTGAGTTCTGACTCTTTAAAACCTTTCAACCAAATTCAGACTTTGTTTGTTTTGCGTTTTGAGACAGGGTCTTGCTATGTAGTTCAAGCTGCCCTCAAACTCTGTATGTAGCCCAGGCTGGCCTTGACCTTGTAGCAATGCTCCTGCTTCAGCCTCCAGAGTGCTGGGATTACAGGCATGAGCCACCTACAAACATTTTTTACTTGTCTAAATTTTTTGCCTTTGAAAAGTACTTGGAACAAAAACTGTTAAAAATGTGTCTTATCACTAGTATATTACACAGTGACCAGTGAAGAGCTGTTGTATATTCCAAAGGCAGCTGATGGTTTGGCTTCAGCCCCTGGGTATAGAAGTGTGAGTTAACCATGATACTCACTTTCTAGTGTGTATGCGTATCTGGGTATATCAATTAGGTACCAGGACGACAACCACTGTATTCTACAAAATCTACTCAAGATTCAGCTTTAGGGATAAAAGTCAGTGCAGCTGGTATAGTTTGGGCCTTACCTGTACTCCATAGCCACATGCATTTAAGGTATGGTCCTCAGAGTGGCACTGTTGGGAGGTGGTGGAGATTTAAGAGGCAGGGCTTGGTGGGAAGCCCTCAGGACTTCAGGTGTGTCCTTAGAGGGAACTGTGGGACCGTATCTCTTCTTCCTCTTGGTCTCTGGTTATGAGGCATGTGGTTTTGCTCTACCACATGTCTGCCATGATGTGCTGCTCAACACAGGCCCAGAGCAATGGGCCCTGTCCATCATGGATGGAACCTCTAAAACCATGAGTTAGAATCAAGTTGATTACCTCAGGTATATAGTAATGGAAAAATGTCTACCACAGCAGTACATTTCTGAGGCAAAAAAGAGGGTCTCCTGTCACCAGTTTCCTTATAACTAGTTTTGGCTGCTACTTTGGATGTTTTCAGAGTTGTAGGTGACAAGTAATGGGCTTCCAACCCAGGGTTTCTTAGCTTCACCACTAGTAACACTGGGGCCAGAATATTCTTTGCTATGCGGGGCTGTCTCCTGTGTTGGAGGACATTTAGCAGCGTCCTTGCCTCTGCCCCTCTAGATGCCAGCAACTCACTGTCAGTGGTGCCAAACAAGATATCTCTCCAGAGCCAGACGAGATGGCCCATGCTGTAATCCCAGCACTTAGGAGGCTGAGGCAGGAAGCTGGACTACATAATGGGACCCAGTCTCAAAACAAAAATGAAAGGATGTCTCCAAACATTGCCAGCTCTACCTTGAGGATACAAAATCAGTACCAACACCACCCTAGTTAGAAGCAGTGCTCCAGCGTGATGCTAAAGATCCTGACTGGTTGCCATGTTGGTCAGGAGGGATTCTGAGAAGTAGATGCTATCTCCCTTGTGGGCATCATCCCACTCAATGACAAGGACTTTGAACAAAGCCCCTGAAGTTCCCTTTCAGCAAGAAACTCTTCCTGAACCTTCTTGCTCTGGTTTGAAGTTATGATGGAAGAGATCTGGGCTCATTCAGAACATCTTTTCCAGACAAGTAGTTCTGTATTTGCTTTCTGCTTATATTAACAAAACCTTTCTCCTTCTTTCCATGCAGTCTATTTTCACTAGAATTATTTTGTTTCAGCAGGAAAGTCTTGGTCCTTCTCAGCTTTCCTCTGAATATCCCCGTAGTAAATAGGCTGGCATATACTTGGTGCCCTGATTAATGCTGTATAGAACACCTTCCCTTGTCTGCTGTATAGTTGGTTTCAGGTTCTCCTAGGCCCACAGTACTGCCTACTGAGCCATGCTGGAAGGCTCTGCTCTGGCCCTGGGCAACTGTCTATCTCTGCTTAACAAGCCCATCCTCACTGCTTCCAGTGGTATGGATGGCAGTAGCATGGTCTCACTTACATGCATTTCACTGCTTTAATGTTCCCTTAAATGTAAAATATATACTCTCCATGAGGATCACAGCACTTCAGTTGGAAATAACAGTTCACATAAAATCCTCTCAAATGGGAAGTTTGTGGTTGGTGGGATCTCAGATGTTCTTAATTGAGCGATGACTATCTTTAGAAGCTGTCCTTGGTTCCTGCCACCCTGCATGACCATCTTCAGTGCCTGGAGAACTCCATCCACCCTGCTGCTTTCCAGGTCCCAGCTCTTACATCACAGCGTGTTTTCCGGGTCCTTCAAATACATGTTAAATATTTGGGGAAATTAAGTATAAAGCACTCAAACTCCATCATGTGGAGATAATTGCTTCCTATGTACAACTCTGCTGAGGAGCCCAGATCAGTGCACCCTGCCTGGGTCTCTGTAGAGCACCCAGACGGTAAAAGCACTGCTTGCGTACAGAGTCGCCTGAGTAAAGAGGCCTTCTGTTCAGACTCTTCCCTGTTAGGCCTCTTAGCTTTCTCCCAAGAACAGTGATCCGAACCAACCCTCAATTTTCTGTTTGGCCATATGGCCAGTGGACAGGCTAGAAGAGCTGCACTCTCAGTGTCTGCCAGAGAGCACAGACTCCAGTTCACTGTCATTCAAGTTTTAGCAAGACATTAGTTAAAAGATAAATATGAAGGGACTCTTGCTTAGAGGATCTTTCTCCTGGTTCAGATATTCACAAATCTATTCTGGCTCGAGACAATGAAGGTGCACATTGTTTAACTCTCTTGTTTGTTTTATTTCTGAGTTGTGCTTTGTTGAAACTTAAGCCTATAGCAGTATTTATTGTCATACTTCAAATAATGATTATGTCATATGACCTTCTGAAGAACCCAGAGGGAAGTAGCTACTGGTTTCACTTTTAGCGTTGGGTGCTAGAAACTTGACAACCAAAATTGAAGACTATCATAGCAAGATTATGCTGTGTGGATTAATGCTCTGTAGGTTAATATGCCATGATGTTTTCCTTTTTGTTGTTTTGTTCATGGCTCTACTTTCACATTTTCTTCTTCATTTGTACTTTGCTGGGTGAGGTGGCGCATGCCTGAAATCTCAGGATGTGGCAAGCTGAGCAGGAAGATCACTGAGAGTTTGAGGCCAGCCTAACTACAAAAAAAAAAAAAAGATATCTTCACTCATACTTTAAATTTGCATTTTCTTGCTGTTACAAATAAAATAAGTTGTGAAAATGACCTGTCCTCCCCAACCTGCAGTGAGATCCCCAGATCCTACCTCTTTTTCTCTGTGTAGAGACAGAGTCCAGACACAGAGTTGGAGATGTGGCACACAAACCTTGTTCCCTGCTGTAAACGGAGAGAGAAAGGTTAATAACATCTCTCCTGCTCCTGTTCCATCATCAGGTTTGACATGCTTGATTCTGCGAAGAACAAGTTGCGGGTGAAGATAAGCTACATAATGATTGCCCTGACGGTGCTAGGATGTATCGTGATGGTTATTGAGGGTAAGAAGGTGAGAGCAGGCTCCCCTCTGTCCCTGCGCACTCCCCATGGTGGACCCGGGGGAGGCAGGGAATGGCCCCTTACTGTCTGAGAAGAAGCTGCTTTCTACATGAGAATGATCGGATACAAAACAAGGCACAGTAGGAGCAAATTGGAGAGATCGTACCTTGGCTAGATAGCAAAGACTACTTGTGGCACACCAAAGAAAGGCTACATTAGTTTTTTGTATAAAACATGTTGTTTATCTGAGTTGTCATAAATAACATGAAATAAGAAACTGACATATTTAATAACCCTTTGCATGTTTTCACCCTTCGTGTGTGTGTGTGGTTTTCTTCACACTACTGAGGATTGAACCCTGGGTCTTTACAGTGAGCTACATTCTCCCTTTTTTTTTTTTTGAGACAGGGTCTCACAAAGTCACTGAGTTGCCCAGGGTGGGTTCAAACTTGCAAACCTCCTGTCTCAGCTTCCCAGAGTGCTGGGATTTCAGGCTTGCGCCTCCACACTGGGCTGATAGTTATTTTTATATTCAGCCAATCCTGGCTAGCCCCTTTTTTAAAAATAATAACCATGTCTAATTCTGTATGTCACGGTTTCCATATGAAAAGAGGTATCTTATAATTACTGTCAGATATGAAAAAGATTCTTTCACACAGCCTTGTCCCCAGTGATTCTGAAGTTTAAGAAGTGAACTTTTGGCTCTTTGGAGTCACAGTTACATGGAATTGCTGACCATTTTAGGCTGACCTCACAGGAGCACAAAGGATCCAGTGTGCTGCTGCCTTGGACGAAGTTCTGTCAAAAACACTGATCCAGGTCATACTGTTTCCTCTGGCCCCTCAGGCCCTCATGATCGAGCTCAGATTGAATCCTTTAGAAGCATGTGGACTGGATGCACAGGTTTCTAGAATTCTGAGAAATCTGTATTGCTTTCTATACTTGATTTTACACAGAGCTCACATCAGTAGCAGGTTATTCTCCTGGGAACCTTTCTCAAATGACCCAGGTGTGCACACTGTGTGCTTAAGAGAGTTTCTGTCAATACTTTTGTGGCATTTCCATTTCAAAAACTTGGTAAATGCTACTGGGATGGAGAAGTTTTTAACTGAAGGCAATTTAGATGAGATAAATTAGCCATTGTACATTTTGTGCCACTGTACAGGTGTGTCCCTTCCCCTTACCTGTTTTCCTTTTTTTAAGATAGAGTCTCACTTTGTAGTTACATATGCCACATGTACCATGCCCTGCACCTTACCTAGTCCTTTACATGTGAGATAACACAGATAGAAGAAAATATCAGTTTATATGGGGGCTAACTTCACTTATTTGGTCTGAAAATGTTGAGACTGGTCCCATGTCAGCTCCATAGAAATGTAACAGTTTACACGGGGGAAGCAAGGGACAAGGGTGAGTGCCTTTCCTACTGCTATTTGGTCTCAAAGGGTGGAGTTTAAGGATAAATATTACTGGAAGTCATCTATTGCAATATTTTTGTAGTCTGAAGTTCCCAAAGCTGAAAGATTTGGGAAAAGAGGAGCTAGAAGGGTATAAAAGTATGTAAATGAATTGGGGAAGGAGAAATGGTGGTAATAAAGAAAAGTGAAAGGAGAAAAATGGGATAGAAATGGACACGAGAAGGTATTTAATAAAAACAAGAGAGGAGAAAGGGAAAGATAAGCGAATAAGTTTACAAGGGAAGAAGAGAGACGAGATTTAGAGCAGGGGGACATGAAGGACGAGAAGGGAGAGGTGCGCACTTCTCTTGGCTCCGATGGGCAGCATCAGAAGACACGTGGAGGGCAGTGCCCAAGCAGCAGCCCATGCCCTGCCTACTTTGCCCTAGTTAACCTGCTACCCTCACAGTACGGCAAGGATATCCTCTCCAGCCTGGTCCAATCACCTGTTCAAATATGTTTCACTTTAGGCTGCCAAAAAAAATGTGTCTTTAACAAACTTGAACTTAGAAAAGAAAGCTCATCTGAGGGAGGAAGCAGCTATGAAGGCCAAAACAGAGTAGCGGAAGTCTCCATGCCGGCCGGACTGTGAACATCCAGGAGTAATGCAACAACTGCCTGTGTTGAGAAGAGTGTGGTATGACGACCCACTTCCTAAATGTATGTCTTGCACAAGCTTATACCAGTTCCCTGTAGAGGTACAAATAAATTTTCTTACAGAATGATGTGTCTTGTTTTATAGCTTTGATACAAGTAAAATGCAGCCTCCCAGCTTTTGAGGGGAAATGAAAAATGAGACAACTTACTTCAACTTTAATATTAATGTTTCTTTAGACAATCTGGTACCATATCTTACTTTATTCCAGTCATTACCAAAGTGACATCCCTCCAGAAGCCAAAATAGTTACACTATTTCTCTCTTGTTACTTTTTTTTTTTTTTTTGTACTGGAGATTGAATTCAGGGCCTTTGCACTGGTCTGCATCCCCCTTTTTGTTTTATTTTAGACAGGGTCTCTTTAATTTACTAAATTGCCCAGGCAGAACTTGAATTTGCAGTCCTCCTGCTTGTCTCCCAGGGTCCTGGGATTACACATAGGCACCACCACACCAGACTGTGTGTACTCATTCTGAAGAGATAGGGAAGGTGTGCCTTAAAGAGCCAGCCTTCTCAAATGCCACGGTGCCTTTTGGAGGTCTGGCTCCAGAAAGCTGTGAGAAGCAGCCCAACTACACTGTCTTTGGGCATGCCAGCAGGTGGAGGCTTCTAGGAAAGCAGTTGTTTTTGGTGTTTTTTTCCCCCTTTTTGAGACTGGGTCCCGCTATGTAGTTCAGGATGGCGGTGAACTTGTAGCCCAGGCTGGGCTTGAAGTCAAGGTGATCTTCCCGCCTCAGCCTCCCAAGTGCTGGGATTACAGGTGTGCACCACCGTGCCTGGTCTAGGAAAGCACTTTTGAAAACGTCCTGGCATGGTAATGACAGTGGTCTGAACAACAGTTTCTGAGGATTTAAAAACCCTGCCATTGTGAAGTTGCTTAGGGCCAGCCTAGTCGTCTAGTTCCATGGTTTAGCGTTCCCAATTGGTTCCTCTCCTGCCACCTGAGAAACTAAACTTCTCAATTATGAGAATTTCATGCATTTTCTTTTAATGTTAAAAAATACGCATTTTTTAAAAATACACATTTAAACCTAGGATGTAACTCATTTACAGTTCTGACTTTGGAATGCCAACTTGTCTCATATTTGTGTGGATACTGGTTTATATAAGCATTTCATTCACTCACACACACCTTGTTGATGTTATGAGTACCTTAGTATTACCTCACAGGTCATTCCCACTATCTCAACATGCTACTTTTCCTCAGTTATAACAGAGATTAGCAAGTAATATATGCAGCTGTGGGGAAACTTTAATAAAACACTCAGTAAAATGTAACACTACCTACCTGTAGCTTCAGAATCTGATGATGTTAATGATATCTTGTCTGTGTACTTCTAGAGTAAGCTGACCTTAGCTGCTTTTCCAGCTTATCAAAAAGCATTGTTTCTTTTTTTTTTTTTTTAAAGCATTGTTTCTTATACATTTTAGTTTTTCTTGATCATTCTGGGACCCCTAAACCAATGTTTTAAATGTGGGTAAATTTTAATTGGTACTTTTAAAAATAAGTAACTTTTCTCTATAGAACAATGTAATTCTTAACTGTTAAAGAGCATTTAAGTGTTCTATCTTGTAGATTTATTGTAAAGATGTTTTATTAAACTAAAGCTCATTCACCAAGAATTTAAACAATAATTTCTCATTTTGTGTTATTTTCTATTCAGTAACATAGTGACTACCTCTTTACAAATGGCCAGAATTTCAGACCTACCTCTTAACTAACCTTACTTCTGGTATCCTCATATACCAGTTGTACCCTACTAATACAATGTACTCCTCAAAACTGGTAAAGCAAATTAACATTTAATGACTATTATAAGGCAACATTACATATAAAAAAAAAGCAAGTTTTGCCATTTTTGCTTTCAGTTAAATTATTATCAGTTACTATTTCTTTAATGCCTAGATTTTGGGGGGCATATTTATTATGTCTTCCTAGGTAAAACAGGCAGAAACCATTTTCTCCTTTTTTTTAGGTATTGAGGATTGAACCCTTGATTTATGCATGCTAGGTAAGCACTCTACCACTGAGCTACTTTCCTAGCCCTTTTAAATTTCATTTTGAGACAAGGTCTTGCTAAATTGCCCAGACTGGCTTTGAACTTGGAATCCTCCTGCCCCAGACTCCTGAGTAGATCAGATTACAGGCACGTGCCACCATGCCCACCTTCTACTTTATACTTTTTACCTTATATTTCCTATTAAGCACTGCACGAATAACATTAACACATGAGGTTAGGGTTTCTTTGAAATTGGTATAATGAGTTTTGGGCATGTATACTAAAATTTATCAAAAGCAAGGAATGAATGAAGCTGTGCTATCTATTGTTATTCATCAAATGGTTAAGTTCCTCTATGCAAAAACCAACAGTACAAATACAGGTAAGCCATACTTCCTGTTCCCATACAGCTCATTATCTACTGCAAACATGGCCCAAGAAACCATTACAGGCCGGGGATTTAGCTGTGGTGTCACTGCCCACTTTGCTAGTGCAAGGTCCTGAGTTCGATCCCTGGTATCAAAAAAAAAAAAAAAAAAAATTACAACACAAATTGGTAAAGAAATTGTTTTGAACTTTACCACAGAAACTGAAGAAGCAGGAAAACCTAACTCAGCTGTGCACTGAGGCTGGAAAAAGGCAAGAAGTCATGGTGCTGTGAGGTGATTTTGCAAATGAATCTGAAATATGAGGGGGAGAGTTAACAGGTCACGTACTGAAGGAGAGTAGCCTCACCATTCAGATGTGTAGTTTCCCTAATAATCACAAGATGGCAACATATAATACAGTTAGAAGTCTGTATTAATCACATTCCTATTTCTGAGACGAAATACCCAACACTCAACTTAGAGAAGTTTATTTTGGCTCAGTTTCAGTGGGTTCAGTCCATAGTTACCTGATTCCAAGGCAAAAAATGACATGGAGGAAGGCTGCTGAACTCATGGCAGCCAGGAAGCAGAGAGAAGGGAAGAGCCAGGGACAAGAATATACCCTTCCAGGTTACAACCCCAGTGACCTTCCTCCAACCCAGCTCCATTTTCTAACAGTACATTCAGCCATGAACTCATCGGTGGATTAATCCACTCATGAATACAGTGCTCCCACAATCCAATCACTTTCCAAAAGACACCTCTGAATATATGGGCCTTTTAGGGGACATTTTAGATCACCATAACAGGGTCCTTTAAAGTTTTAGACGCTGAGAATGAACCTAATCATGACTTCTTTTTCCCAACTCACAGACCTGATACAGATTTCATGTCCCATCATCACCAAGTGTATAGGTGGCATTTGACCTCTTCTCCAGTTCTGTAACCACCCCAGGCTAATGTTCATTTGACTCCCAAACCAAAAATCAAAAACTCACTTGCTTCTGTCAGTCATCTCTTATCAACTGTACTTTAAAATATTTCTCAAATATAAGGACCTTCTAGGACAGTCACTGAACAAAATGGGACACTCTAGGGACAAACACATGAGGTTCCTAACAGGCCTCAAGATAAGGAGTCAGAAGCCCCCGGTCCTATACTTTACTATTCCAACTCTCCTGTTTTGTAAATACTGACTGTAAGTCTCAAAATATTGCAAATGAACACAATTTTTAAAAGAAATACAAAATCATGCCAAAATTAAGAGAAGTCATTCTTTCAAACACCTTTTTGTTACTGCTTTTGGTGTTTTTGTTTGTACTGGGCTTGAACCTAGGACCTTCACACTGAGCTACATTCCCACCCCCCAGCCCCTTGAGATGGGGTCCCACTAAGTTACCCGGGCAGGGATAGCATCCCAGAGTGATGCGTTACAGGCATGTGCCACCACACCTGGCTCAAACATCTAAATTTTTTGCCAACTTGGCTTTACTACTTGATTTCCAAAGGTTTTAGTAGTCACTCATCCATAGTTTAATTGTTCTATCATTTTCTAATGCTGCTGATGCAATGATGTTTTCTGTAGGATGACAAGCTGCTGCAATCACAACATCTGTATGACCTTGTAATTTCTGTACAATCTCTTTAGTCTGAAGGTTCCAAATGTAAACCAGGTTATCCTCCGAACCAGACACAATCCACTTTCCACCAGTAACTGAAAAATTGGCAAATATGCAGTATTTCTCATTCTTATGACCAGTGTATGTCTTCAAGCATCTGCCTCTGCTATAATCCCACAGTTTAAGAGTATTGTTCAAAGTTGAAGTGAGAATATATTTACCGTTTGGAGAAAATTTTACAAAAGAGACAGGAAGATTGTCATCAACAGTAAGTGTTTTTAAACACTGACCTGAGGCAGCATCCCAGATTCTACAGAGACCATCGTAGCTGCCTGACACTATCAAGGACCCCGTACTATTAAAATGAACAGCAGAAACTGGGTCAGAATGAGCAGACAAAGTCTTAAGGCACTTTCCTGTTTTTACTTCCCATATTTTCACACTCTCATCAAAAGATCCTGAAATGATTAGAGTGGATGCAGGATTGAAATTACAACAAAAGACATAATCATTGTGCCCCTTCAGTGTTTTCAAACATTTTCCAGATCTCACAGCCCATATCTTTAGAGTTTTATCATCTGAGGCAGAAACAAGACAACTAGAATCTGATGACCAGGCAACATCTGATATTTCCAGATTGTGACCATACAGTGTTTTGTTGTATTTTCCATCATATGCTCCCCAAATTATAATTACTTTATCAGCAGAAGAACTTGCTATCCATTCACCATCAGGACTAAACTTAACTGATGACACTGCTGCCGTGTGCCCCACGAGAGTAAATTTGTGGGCATAGTTCGGTTTTTCAGGTACTTCCTGGCGCCGATAGGCTGGTGAGAAGGCACCTCCTGGCTCCTCTGATGCCATGGCTCGAAAGCTCCAAGACAGTCGGTGGATGAGATGTTCTCCCTGTAGGGAACAGGGAAAGGGGACGTTACCAGAACCTCTGCAGTAAGTCCTAGTCTCCTGCGAGCCACCGCAGCACAAGGCAAGTTACAGGAAAGGTAGAAAAAGGAGACAGAAGAAGCTGAGCTTTGGGTCTGACCAGTGCTGCTCTGGGCCGCAAAGACGAAAGCCCCCAGCTTACCGCACCTTTTATTCAGTACATCGGGAGAAACAAATGTAACAAATGACTTGCAGAGTTCAGTACATCCTGCGTAAATAAGATGTAACAATCCAACAAAAATGAACTGAGTAGATGTTTGTGCCTCCCAGGATGTCTTCAACTGGTGTAATCTTGTCCTGGAGAATCACAGCATCACCGGATCATTGAGGTCTCAGTTGTGACTGGAGGCCAAAATGCATTTATGTCTCGGAATTCCATAGCTGGGCTGTAGGCAGGAGAACTAGGCTAACCAAATGATTTTACCCTAAAATTAAGTAGCATTGCTCCCGACATCTTCCCAGACCCACACAGGAGATAAGCATCAGATTTTTAAATACACGGCTTTGAATAACTACAACTTCTGGATCGACTTTAAACTGACATCACCGGAATCAGCAACATCGCTTGGACTACTTCAGTTTTCCCTCTGTTTTGAGAATATTTGCCTGCAGTATTTTCGAAAAGGTCCCGTGGCTGTCGGCGAGTCCTAACGTAGAGCGTCAGGAGTAGAAGGGACTCCAGGCAAAGTAATTTCCACGCCCGTTTCCAGCTCCCAAAAGTTGAGACTTGGTACTTGAGGATGCACGAACCACTCTGCTTCAGACAGATTGAGAAATTGTAAGAGGACGTGCAGTCACCGGAAATACAGGCCTGGCCCGCAATCTTCCTTCCATAATTGCAGCAGGGTACAGCGCCCGACTCTGCGGTAAGGGCGCCCGAGCGCATGTGCAAAGGGAGGTCCCAGTGGGAGACGCACGTCTGCGCCTGCGCAAAGGCGGGGCCAGGGTTCGCATCCGTTCTTCCTGGTCTCCTCCCTGCGAGTGCGAGACGCTTTGCTAGAAAAGTGGAGGAGCGGCAGTAGGTTTAACCTATACGTGACAGGCTAGTGTGGAAAGCAGCAAATCGTATTTCCAAGAACATCCATTTCTTTTTGAAAACTCTCTGGAATTTGCTGACACCCTTAGCTGTAGACTTAGGTCCACCCTTGGCACTTAAACTGCCCGAACAGCGACTATTTCAGGAGCTCGGCCAAGGTCGACCCACTCTCCCTCGCTGGGGAGCCTGCACCAGCTCCTGCTCTGTAAGTGGCTTTGTTCTGCTCCCCTCCCTTTATGCGTTGTTAATCCCCCTGACCTTTGTGCCTGCTTGATCACTGCAGGAGGGAGAGTGGAGCAGAATTCGTGCCTGGATTCTAAGACCTTTTAAGTTTTCCCTGAAAACGTGTAGAAAAGGATGAAGAATGTATCTTAGCATCCTTCAAAGGCCAGTAGAATATGTACTGTATCAGGAAACAGAAGCAAACGTTTGTTTTCCCATTCATGGTTTAATGTTTGTTAAGCATGAAGTTCCTACCTCCTTAAAGGTACTTAAGAGAAAAGAGCATGGAGGGCGGTGGAATGGGATAAGAAATGGGTACGGTTATTTTTAATTAAGCTTTAGAATAGAATTTGCCTAGTTTTAAGAAATGGTTGTAAGAGTAGGTAAACTCTACACTGTTCAAATGAAAGCTACCAGTCAACAAGGCTTACCAAAAACCTGGAAACCTGAATCATCTTTGTGATTTCTTAAACTACCCAAGGAGAGAGAGAAAAGGTTCTATATAAAAGGCTTTCCTTGTAGCCAAGCTAAAGTCAATTTTGGGGGGGAAGAGAAAGGTCTCCTTTAAAAGACTCAATGTGTGTATTAACTCACCTTTAATAAACTAATAATAAAAAAACTTATTTAAAGATTCTATGACTAGTTTGAAATTTGGACAGGGATTAGACAAATGTCTTCCTAGGTAGTCTAGTGCAAACTAACGGTATATACGTATACAAGAACTCGTCAGGAGTGAGAACAGTACAGTATCTTTGAAATTGTTAAAGCACTCATACATTAAAAGTTATAATGGTTTTTAGAGATTTGTTAAGCCACAATCTCCATGGAACTAATTCCCCTGTGTAACACAAAACTTTTCTTCCTTCAGTATATCTTAAAGTTCAATTCTGACTAAACCTTTCTGCTTCCTTTTCGTCTCCTCCTGTCAGCATGGATTAAATTCTGCATCATTTGAAACTATTTCCATTTTTACTAACTCACTGAAAGCACTGTGGGGAACACAATTTAGGCATTTTTCAAAGAATTTAAGAAAATCTGCTTTCTCAGTAATTGTACATTACTAGGAAACTAAGGAAAATAAGGTGAACATAAAAGGCTAGGATGAAGTATTGGTACTAGAGCGTATTTCATTCATTGCAGATATCACAAATGAGGGAGAGGGGACACAGAATTAAGAATGTGTTGATAGGAATAACCAGACCTTTTTCTCCTGATTTCCCCAAGATTTGATGGGAGTCAAAGTGCATTTCTTGCTGTGTGGGTTATTTTGTTTATAAATATCATCAGGAACTTGTGTAAAATCAAGTCTTGCTTACTCATTAGTCATGTCTTGATAATAACAAGTAGTCCTTATGAATTAGGACTAGGAATTTTATATTTTAGTTCCTTGGGAAGGGCAAAAATGGTGGAGTTGAAGGGAATTGGCAGTTGGAGCATGGGGAGAACAATACACCAATACAGGTAAATCCAAAGTGGCAGAAATGATAGATTGACATTTTGGTTTCCCAAGCAAAATTTCTTCCATGCTTACCACATTTTAAACACCTATTTTTGCCACCCTTAATTTTCACCAGATTAGGTGATTTACAAGTTGGCCTCGTAAAAATCAATTAGGTTTCTTTAAATATCCTATTTTAGAATTGAAAGTCTCCCCTTTAAAGGATTTCCTTTGTCCCTCAGTGAAGTTCACAAATATTCTAAACAGAAATGTTACCAAAAGTGGGCATATTTAATTAAGGAAAAAAAGTGTATGTGCCAGACCTAACCATGGCTCAGCTTAGGTGTTAACTAAGGACTCCCTTAACTACCTTCCTTTACAGCAACTTTCAGTCCCCTCTTGCAGTGCTGTGGCTCCAAACTGGGGCCCTCCATATACTCTACCACTGAGCTATGTACCAGCTCAACTGCCAAATCCAGCCTTCGAAATCAAGCAGTAACAATCAATTAACAATTATGTACATACCCAGGTGCTTTAGACCTCTAGCAAATTTGTGAAAATGTATGGTTAGGCCAACTATGGGGTGAACTGGAATACTTTTAAATGTCAAAGGGGAAACTTAAATAACTTGTTAATTGATCTGTAAGTTTAAACTGGAATGGTCCCCAGCAAAGCAGTAGTCACTTCCCAAGAGGACTTTCCTCAGAATCGTAACTTAAATCTTAGAACATTCTGTACTCAGTAGTTTACACCTCAGCTTCCTTGGCCTGTCTCAAATCCTGTACTCCCTTCTCCCCACTAGTAGTCTTTGAGGTTCCATTTTCTCTATTCTGTCACTTTATCTTAATGCTTTGCCCACGTGGTAGATAAGGCAGTGATCCTTATTACAGACCTTATACTGGACTCTTTAGTTTCTTCAGGTTATGTGGATATGGATAAAAAGTAATTTTACTTTCTGCAAAAACATTAATGATCACATAACCACATACTCATTTGAAATGAACAAAATTAAGCAACCACATATTTGAAATGCAAGTGAAATATGCAAACAATAATCCAAGCTGGCTTAATTTGTAAACCCAGCAATTTTGTACTATAGATGAAATGGTAGTGTGTGCAGAAACTGAGGCTATGTTTTGCTTTACAATGTTTGTTTTCAGAAAAAAAAACCAAAAAACTGGTCAGTGGAATCTCCAAAAAAATAGATGAGAAGCAGTCATGGAATGAAGAAATACATTTTTTTTCTATTCATCTGTCATTTAAATTGGAGGAATGAATACTGTTCTCATGCCATACAATATGTAAAAATGAAAAATCCATTTAGTAGCCATTAGTATCAACTAGCTTCCACATCAGTTACAGGTATCTGATAAAAACTTTAAAATGCCACAATATACTGATTGGGTACTTGGTGTATATATTAAACACATGGGGTTGACTATATATTAGCATGTAGAATATACCCATTAACTTTTTTTTTTTTGGTACCAGGGATCGAACTCGGGACCTTGCGCTTGCAAGGCAGGCGCTGGAACCACTGAGCTAAATCCCCAGCCCCTCATTAACTTTTCTAAGTAATTTGTTTTTAAATAGACTTCTGATATGACAATGTTTGCTTTTGTAAACTTCAGGTCATGTCTCCTGAAAGCTAACTACATATAAAACACAAAATTGTTAGGATACTTGCTTTAATAGTTATAGTGTCAACATGAAGGAATTCCTTTGTATTTTCTAACCAAGTACCCTTTATTAGTCGCATAGAAGCACATTCCTTCGTTTTAGTTTCTATTCAACGCCTATGTATAAGGCACTCACCCATGGCCTGATGGCGTTCAAATACAAAAAATCATTGCAGCCATTCCAAATCAGTGTCTGAACACTTGGAAACAACACATGGAGTAGTCAAAATGACCTTGAGGTAAGTAGAAACCCTCAACAAATACAATAAGGGAGTTAGCTATCTGTGAGATGATGCTCCTTTAGTAGTAGGTTCAGTCCATGGACTGGTAAGGCAGTAATTCTTCATTCCAAAGCCTGTGTCATTGTCTTCTATATTTGCATTTGAATTGAAATGTTTAACTACTTGTTACTAAAATCACTTGCACATTTTTAGCCTGTTATTGCAGTTGTCTGTATATGGAATTTTAGTGCCACAGAAGGGGAAAGATGTTCAGGCCGAAGGGCTACACACTACCCTATGTAAAGGGAAAGCAATTTACATCTAATGGAGTCATTTTAAGGGGGGTGAGGTGGAGGAAATCAGGAAGAATTGTCTCAATAAAAGGGACCCTGACTGTTCAAAATCTAGTTTTGGAGTTTCTGGCACAGAACTGCCACGTAACCACTGTTGTGGTTTTTTTTGGTACCAGGGATCGAACTTGGGTCTTTGCGCTTGCACGGCAGGCGGCAGAACCACTGAGCTAAATCCCCAGCCTACCACTGCTTTCAACAGAGAACTGCAAGGGCTCCTCCCTTCCCTTGGACAGCCAGTATTGTGACCTTGGCACAAAGGAGTTTGGATTTCATCATCTATAATATAGTGATAATTATCCACATCAAAAAAGTTGGAAGATTAACTGAAAAAAAAAAAAAGGAAAGCCCTTGGACACTTCCTTGGCAAATAAGATGCTCCAATGAACACAAGGTGCCTTTAACCTGTAGGAAAACACTAAAGACTTGTCTATCCTTAGCTAAAAACAGAATGGAACTTCATCTGCCCTTATCACAAGCTTAGACGCATTTTATGTTCAAAAGCAACTTGATTCTCTCTATATATATAATCATTATTTTTGATGCCTAGTTACTTTCTTATAACCCATCCTTTTCTTGACAATGAAACATGGACGTCTTCTTATAGCCAATTTACTATAGTCACATCTATCCTTCAGTTAACTTTCTTAAAAAATTAACTTTTGATAGGAAGAAGTATCATGAAATATTTCCCAACTTGGCACATGTAATCTGTTCAACCAGAAACGTCAGGAAATGTTCCTATTAATTTAGGATATAAAAATATTTAATTTGAGACTTCCATTTATAGGTATACCTATCTCTGCAAATGAGCAAATTTTGGAAGGCAGTAACATACAGTATAAAGTGAAAGCAAACCACACCCCTTTCTAAAAGTGACCCCCTTTAGTGAAGATCATTCTTAGACATCTATTTCTTATTTACATAGAAACTCCAACTCCAGCAGCTATTGACAGGACAGTCTTTACACAATTAACCGGCAAGAAAAATCCCTTGACTCAAGCAAAGCCTTTTTATAATGCATCCCCATGTGAGGGATCAAACAGCTGAAATGTTTATTTAGCACTAGAGAAATAACTTCAAAGTTGCCCATAAGTAGCCATTTACAATAAAGGATTTAGAAGACAGTCTAGTTGATAAAATATACTTACACATTTTTTTCTTAGGTAAAATCAGCAGCAACCAATAATAATTCATTTATTATGGGACAATTGCTATTTTTTTTTTCCTCAGTGACAATAAAGTTGAAAATGACCTCGAGTTCAATCAGCTTTATCTGATATATGGAAGAAGCAATGCTAGGGTAAGTTTTCAAAACCAGCACTACTGACAAAGGCAATAATTAAAAAGGGTCTTGACAAGAACATAAAGTGCTCTACAGAGAACTCTGTCTCATCAATCTCTTTTCTTCACGTCCATCATCAGTATCTTCCCTGGTGTTTCTCCATGTAGCCATGTCTACTTGCTAGTACTTCTGATGTCAAGTGTGTTTCGTTACAAAGCTATACTTTGAAATTTTGAAGAGGGGAAAAAACAGAAGGAAAAACATTTTCCCAATAAATATATGAAACCACAAGCTTTGTGTTGAAATTAACATGTTTTTGTATGAGAAACACCTTGTGATAAAAGTATTCAATAAATCGAGAAATTATTAGAGAACTAAAAACAATTTATAGCTCCCCTTTACAATGCCATTTCTACAAAAGACTGCTTTACCAGTACCAAGTTCCAGCACATATGAATTATGCTGGGATCTAACTTTAATCAATTCTAAAATTTATACTTAAAAAAAAAATCATTTAATTATAATAACAAAGTTTAGTTCAGGGCTGGGGATTTAGCTCAGTGGTTCCAGCGCCTGCGTCAAAAGCGCAAAGTCCTGAGTTCAATCCCCAGTACCAAAAAAAAAAAAAAAGTTTAGGGCCGGGGATTTGTCTCAGTGGTTCCACCGCCTGCCTCGAAAGCGCAAGGACCTGAGTTCGTCCCTGGTAACAACAAAAGAAAGTTTAGTTCAGATCTTAAGGTTTATGAACTTCTAGGACCAGGAGAAAGATAAATTCTTCTGTTTTAGACAAAACAGATCACATCAGATAAGTGGACTTTGTTTTAATTCATTCACTGAGATACTTGTAATTGCCAGCAAAAATTCCAACTGTATGCTCTACTAATGTGGGGAGACAACTTTGTGTGCTTTATAGTTTTATCCATTCAAATTGATTTATAAAATAAAATTTTATCTAATAGAAGGTACATAATTTAAAACATTCTATAGAAATGACGTTACCAGTGATTTACAATTTAAAAAAAAAAAGTCAGCCACAAAAAAAGTCAAAGCTAAAAACAAGATTTTTACTATGAATCAGTGCTCTATTACCCTCCTGTAAGAAGTTATATTTTAATGTGATATAAAGGCAACATTGAAATTTCTTTAAATTAACCACCTAATTTATCCCTAAAATTACAAAGAATCAAAGTCTTTTACAGGTCAAGTGCAGTAAACTAAAATGTTCTCTCAGCACAAAGCAGCACTAGAAATAGTAACAGTATGGACTGGAGTTGACAAGTTTTGCAGTGGCTGCTCCATCAATAACAATAAACATCAGACAGTATCCATCCCAGAGCACAGACACAACTACAGACTGGAGGCGAAGAAAGCATCACACTCTTGGCTGATAAATGTCCTTTGTCTTTGAATCTTTTACTTTGAATGAAGTGGATTTTTTTTTAGAAGTTTAAATCAGGTCATGTAAGTTGGCTGCTTAAATATCATGATGAGGTATGAAAGCTCTGAACATCCTTTATATTCAGCAGGATTTACCAGAGACGAATAGCTTGTCAGGGGCAACTCCAGATAGTTTTTACACTTTGGGATTATAATGATTCTAGAAGAGTATAAATTCTAAGGAGGTTTAGAAGGGTATGCTCTGAAACAGAAGTGAGCAACTTTTCCTTCAGAATTCATTTTGAACAGAACATCATCAAAAATTCTTCTCTGACAGTGCATCCCAACATTGAACCATGATGGCCAACTAGCACCGAGAAGTTGTATTGAACTCATTTGCAGTTCTCTTTGCAATTAAGCTTAGTTTTTCATTCCAGTCCAAGCACACATGTGGATCAGTGAACAGAGTACTGGAAGCGCCATTTGCAGGTACAGATTGCAGTCATTAAATGGGCCAGAAGGTGGACACTGGTTTTACTGGGAGTGGGCTAGACTACCAGCATATGGGGTTATTAAAAAAAGATCACTGCTCTTATTTGGGGTAAGCAGGTCATGTTGAGATTTTTTTTTTTTTAAAAGATAAGGATGCTACATTACAGGAATCAAATATGTAGCACAACTATATTAGAATCAAGCTGCAACTAAGGAGAATAAAAACCAGTAAGTAACCTGTCAGTCACAGAGGGGAAAAGCACCCACAGTAAACACCAATTTACTGAGGAACTCGATCAGGACCACAAAGCCTGAAACTTTTTTTTTAGGTACCAGGGATCAAACTCAGGACCTTGTGCTTTCAAGGCAGGTGCGGTGCCACTGAGCTAAGTCTCTGGCCCAGCCTGAAACATTTTTTTGTATTGCAGAAACACAGCCTCTACTCACACTGGTTGAGTTTGGGAAAACTGAAGAGTTTTCTTACTTTTAAAAACTGAATTACAGGGTATGTGTTTTGATTACTAAAGACTAAATCTTCGTACCAGCATTGGAACTGAACCACTTCCAAATCCTAAGACATGTAAGACCAAAGAGAAGCAAAAGCCATACACATTAATATGTGCTCCTCTCCTGTCTGCTTTAAGGGATCTGCAAACCAGTATTACATTTAAGAGTCAAAGTGTTAATTCTTCAGCATTCCTGACCACTAGAAAGCACATTCACTGAAGGCTGAAGGTGAGGGACTGGATGGTTTAACTTTAATATCTGAAGAATGGTGCCGATAGAGAAAAGAAAACCATCCAATCTCAGTAAGGATTAATGCAAATTTGGCTAGAAAAAGCCACCAGGTAATCCAAGGGTTCACTGTGGAAGAACTCATGAAAGTACTCTGAAGTATACACAACAGGTCTAAATATCTCCCTTGTTGTAAGTAGTTATGTGAAATTCAAGATGAAGGTTTAGTTTTATCTTTTAATGTCAGTATTTTTTCCCCCCATTTTAAAGGGAATGAGGAGTCCTCTTTTTTTTCCCCCACAAAAAAGGGAGCCACATTAATGTACATTCCCATGACTCTAACGTAAGTGCGGATCTCCAAAGCCTAGGGATTTTTCCGTATGAGTGGGCTGGTCTGGTTACCCTTTTATTACAAGGGTATTCCACCACAGAGAGCCAGAGGTTTTCCAGATGTGTTTAAGAGAGCAGGTGCGCAAGGCAAGCAAATGAGCGCAAACAGTATTATGGAAAACATTTGAGAAGTTAGCTCCATGAGGACTGTGGGCTCCACAAAAGAACTCAACTAGGTAGCCTGGTCTGACACAGGAACATGAAAGCAGAGTATTGCTTCAAAGCTGGAAACCTTCCATAGGAGCCTCACACTGCTGGAAGATGTACTGCTGCTGGCTAAGGTCAACCTGGGGAGCAATATTGCTGTCTTCATCTTCGGTCCCAAAATAGTGCTCAATAAGATCAAAGGCCTTCTGGTAGATCTCCTGGTTTTCATGACTCTGAAGGAACTCGATTTTATCCAGACCTAGAGTGAAGAATAAAGGAAAATTTTTATTGGAGATTCTCAAACTATTATTTTTATCCTAGGTCCCCTTCCTTGATGTAAACAAACCTCTATTTCTAAAAGTATAAAAATGATTTCTAGGATTATATCTGAAAAATAGTATAGTGGTGCCTTGGTTTACAAACTCAATTCGTTCTACAATCCTGGAAAAGATGGCCACATTTGTGTTCATACAGGATGTGTTCATCACCCAATGTCAGAGTTCACAAACAAAAACAAAACTGTGCCAAATACTTTTGTTTGCAAACCAAACTGTTTGCAAACAAAAGCATTTGCAAACCAAGCTACCAATGTATTATAGTGACATTTTAAATACGTATGAAAGAACATCGAGCCCACAGAAGCAGCAATTTCCACAATAGTCACACATCATCCACTGTCCAGGATGTTTTACTGGATGGCATCTATGGCCTAATTCATTCTTGGCCATAAATAAGCCTGTTCAGTCAAAGCATCTTACCATAAGCTTCTTCAATCAAAGCACAGTAAGGGTTAATGCCAGTGCCATTCCTTTTGGCTTCTTGTTCTCCAAGCCTCAGGATATTTTCTAAGCCATTTAAGGCAACTTGTACAATCTTAGAGTCCATGACAGTGAGAAGATCACAAAGCGGCTTGATACAACCCAGTTCTACTAGGTACCTAAATTAATACAGAAAACAATTTAGTAAAATCAATTTGATTATGTATAATTTTTATGAAACTGGTAAAGAGTCATTAAATTCACTGTAGAGAGAAAAACAGGCACCCAATTAACTATACAAATTACACCTTATAAAAAAGCTACAAAAAGGGCCAGGGATTTAGCTCAGTGGTTCTGCTGCCTGCCTTGCAAGCACAAGGTCTTGATTTCGATCCCCAGAACCAAAAAAATTTTAAAAAGCTACAAAAACTTAAAACCGATTCTCTAATAACATCTCCATTCTTTTTTCCTTTCACAATTTTTTGACTGCAAAAAATGGGAATTATTTCCCATTCTGAATATCAAAAATTTCTGTACTTTGGCTAGATTAATGTCATTTTTATATCAACAGGAAGCCACACTTCTAAAAGGTCTCCTAAAGGCCAGTACAAGCTCAAGAGCCCCATCTTTCAAACGTGATTAGAATTTTACTAAAGTAAGTTGTGAGAAGTCTATAAATATAAGACGAATGTAAGGAAGACTCCAGAGCTAGTATTTTTTCTTTTAATTCAGACAGAGTTTAACATCCAATCAAGATTTATTATAATCAAACCAACACACAAGATACAACATCATTCTCAGCAGATATTCATGTTGTTTTGTATCATTTTAGTTTCTCAAGTTGTGTATGGAGCGGCCGGGGATTTAGCTCAGTGGTGCCGCCGCCTGCCTCACAAGCACCAAGGTCCTGAGTTTGATCCCCAGTACCAAAAAAAGAAAAAACTCAAGTTGTGTATGGAAAGGCAGAGACAATCCAGGTGCATGCTGTGGATGTGAATGCTTTGGAACTTATTAAACTAGTGTTAATCTACTTCTTTTTCCAGCTGCTATTTAACATATTCACAATAGGGCTGAACATGCGTGACTGTCCCATCAGGTGGCATGTACCAGCTAATGGAACTGTCCCTGAGGTTTTTCTCTTCCATGGGACTGTCCCATGCTGCCTGATGGGACAATCATGCATACACTATTGGTGTTTCAAGTCAGCAGGAATGTGTTTTAAAAAAAAAAACATACAAAATGACCAGGCAGAGATTTTTATTTTCTAATTCCAGAGTACAGTGGACCTTTGACTTACGAACTCAATTCATTCACAAGGGGTGGATGTAACTCAAACTGGTCAACTAAAGGCTCAGGCTCCTACACACAGCCTTCAAAGTCTCTCTCTTGTGTATAGGCAGATCCCAGTGTCCTTAGAGAGAAATTGGCAGAGGATTTCTCAACCCCTCACAGGAAAGGATGATGTAATGTTTCTTCCAGAACTCTTTAAGGATTAAATTTGTATCTGAGACCATCGGGAAGCACAAGCAGCTGGCATTTGGGTTGTAATTCAAGACTTTGGTTGTAAGCTAAAACTAAAATTCTGGTCGCAACCCAAGTTGTCTGCATGTCAAGCCAGTCATAACTGGAGGGGGTCCACTGTACTGTTAAAATAAGCATTTGTTCAATACCTAAATCTTACCCACAAAGCAACAATGTAAGAAATAGCTATGATTGTCAGATTATTTTTCCCCCAGTACTGGGGATTGAACTCAGGACCCTGTGCTTGCAAGGCAGGTGCAGTGCCACCGAGCTAAATCCCTGGCCCCATGTCAGATGTTATATATGAAGAAGGGGTGAATGCTTTCTCCCTTTGGAACCATTTTCTCATCTGGTTTCCCAATTTAAAAGATTAAGACAGGCTGAGTGTCTAACTTCCATTTTTTTCTTCACAATTCCTTTTTTTTTCTGACAATACTAGATGTCAAGATGGGTGTGGTGGCAGATGCCTGTAATCCCAGCACTCAAGAGGCTGAAGTAGAAGGATCAGCTTCAAAGTAGGCTGAAGCTACTCTTTAAGTATTTCTATTGCATGAAATATCAAATTACTTTCAGCCAAAAGAAATGACAGGTGCTGAGGATTTAGCTCAGTGGTGCCTGCCTCAAAGCCACAAGGCCCTGAGTTCGATCCTCGGTAGGGCCCCCCCCCCAAAAAACCAAACAGGCATAAGAAGTTAAATGTACATGAGCCTAATGATGACACTGAGAACAATCTTCCAAAGGCCAGAACTCTTAGTTAATAAGATCATCTCCCCCCTTATTCCTCAAATGTAGTTAATTTTTCATTCTAGGTAATACTGAGAAAGGAGGGCAGTAATAACTTTTCCTTTAATTTATAAAGTACCACCTGATGAGGACTTACTTAATCTGTTCAGCTGATCCTCCAGAAGTTGCATTTGTGATGGCCCAAGCAGCTTCTTTTCTTGTTCGAAACTCAGCAGTTTGTAATATACTAATGAGGGCTGGGAAAATGTTTGCATCTATCACGGTCTGAATTAAAGAAAAATTAAAATGGAAAAAAATTTAAAGAAATCACAAGATTAGTAAAAATTATCCCTAATACTATGTGACAACTGCTCGACTGTGTCAAACTGACTGGCTTAGCAGCCACCCAGGGGACTAGTAGACATACTTCTGAGTGTGAATGTGTGAGTCACGGAGGCATGACTGTATCTGCCCTGCATCCCAGCTAAGCAGCTTTGCTCTGCCACACAATTTAGCCATGATGTTTCTGCCTTGGAGCCAAAAACATGTGAATCTCCTTAAAATGGGATCCAGATTAAACCACTCTCTAAGTTATGGGTGTCCAGTATTGTATCAAGCAATGGGAAGGCTCACCAATACATACTAATTGTAACTTTTAAACTAGTTTCACTAATGATACCTATCCCTTTGTTAAAAATAAAACTGAAAGTAGTTCAAGTCCTCATTACTCTCAACTTTTAGCCCATAGTCTTTAAGGAAAACACCCTCAAAGGAGTCTGTGATCTTAAAATCTAATTTTCCCCCTGAAGTTTTTCTCTTCTCTTGTCCTCACTTTTTCTATCTCCAGTAACAGTCATACAAGTTCAATTCTGTTCCTCTACTATTCTCACTTCTCTCATTGCATCCATTCTCCCATGTGAGCTGTAATCACCTCTCCAGGCCTTACTTTTCACTGCTACTCCAGCCGGAAACACTCTGCAGCTTACTTTAGGTCTGCTACTCATCTCAGACACATGATCTGTCCTCCATAGCAGGTGTCTCTTTAAATCTCTATACAAAGTTTGGTTTTTATCTATTCATTCTAAATTCAGTTAACTAGTCTCCTTATCACTCTCAACACATCCAGAGCCCACCTCTTCCTGTCCTTTAGGATCACTGCCACTATCCTTTTCCATGGTACCACCTCTCAGTAAGATTACCAGTATGCCCTTATTAGGTGGACTGAGTATTTTTACTCAGTCCCTTTACCATATTATTATTAAAGTAGTCTTCCTAAATTACTTTCTTCATGTTTCACATTGGCTCAAGAATATAAAATGGGGTTGGTGAAAAATTTCCTGTATCAAGAAACTGAGAAGTTCTGCCTAAGATCCCAGAGGTGGTAGGCAATCAACTAGAGCTGAAATCTCATATTCATACTACAAACTGCTATGGCTATGAATCTCAGTCCCTAATTCAGCTTTCTGGGCATGATGAACCATACTCAACTGGTCTTTATGCTATACCAGTGAATGATGTCTGTCAAGTTGTTTTTTTTTTTGGTACCGGGTATCGAACTCGGGACCTTGCACTTGTGAGGCAGGCTACAGAACCACTGAGCTAAATCTCCAGCCCAATGCCTGTCAAGTTTAGCGAAAGGACACCTAATACTGGTCCTGTCATTCACTGGAGGTGTCCTTGAGGAAACTTTTATTTCTCTGAGCTTCTGTTTCGTTTTTTTAAGATTTTTATTTCTACTGATAAATAATAATTATATATTTAAGGACTAGACTATAATGCTTTGATAAACATATTCATGGGACTAATGAGAATGTAAGATTAGATGACCTTTATGATTCCACTTAGCTCCAAGTCTCCTAAAGTCTAAATCCTATCTTTTCCAACCTGCTGTTCAATCTCAACCAAGGCTTATGCTGAACATGCTGGCCCACTGCTTGTCTTCTACATAGGTTAGGCTCCCACTTACAGAAAGGCAAAAAGTAAAAGGCACATAACAATTTAAAGAAAAACAGGTCTCCAGACTTCATGAAAAACTGAAACAATCTAATACATGGTCCACTGCAAAGTACATATTTTACTTGGCAAGGGTAAAGCCAATCTGCTTAGCATGAAGTCTATCAAAGCATTTAAAAATACAAAATGCATATTCTTGGATCATGTGTACATCATCAAATACTGAAGGCACAGAGAAAAACCAAGGCCCAAATAAAATTTGGGAATATTTAAAATCAGTAAGCTAGGAAAAAAATAAATAGACTATGAAACACCGTAGGAAGTTAGTGGTTTTCAAAGCAATAATAAAAACTTTATTTTAAAAGCTGACAGAAAAAAAATCTTACCAATCAATAAAAGCACAAAAAGGAAGGCTGTGTTGAGATTACCTGGATCTGTGCTCTATTTCTAGCTGTGATATTGGATATTGTCCAACATGCTTCCTTTTTGATAGATTCTTTAGGGCTACTCAGCAAATGCAATAAACTCTGAAGAGCCGAGCAATTCAAAATTACCTAAAAGGAAAAGTTTTAAAGTTTTACTTACTATGTTGTTCCAAATATAAATAAATCTTTCCTCAAGTAACTTACTCTAGGAAAAATAGACACTGTCCCTTGAAATTTTATAAATAAGTTCCTTTACATATATAAAAAAGTATTCGCTGTTAAGAATTTCTAAGATTATCAAATAAATTTCATTACATATATTCCCAACTACTAAAACTATTTAAAATACAATAATGTCAGTAATTACAATAAAATTATTCATTCATCTTCCTGTCCCTACAGCTGAGTCTTCTATATGGATAAATATATTAAATGACTAAAAAAATCAGTAGTAGTCTTATATTTTTAAATCCTCTGGCAACTCTCTACCTTCCAGTCAAAAATCAATATATACTTAATGAAGTATATTACATGCTGTATGGGAAACAGAAAAAAAAAGACTCTACCTATCAAAGAGCTCACAAAGATAAATAAGACAAATATATATGGGAAAGAGGCCTACTGTACCAGAAATTAAATCATAAAGCTAAAATGCTTGAAATGTTGTACGGTTGCCCGGTATGGTGACTCATGCCTACAGTCCTAGCACTTGGGAGGCTGAGGCAGGAGGACTGCTGCGAGTTCAACAGCCTAAGCTATATAGTGAGCTCAAGGCCAACATGAATTACAAAGTGAGACCCTACCTCCAAAAAAAAAGAAGAAAAATTATATGGCAAGAATCAAGAATCAGTTACTAAACAAGAGAATGAGTATCTAATTCAGAAACAAATGCAGGCATTTATAAATAATTATGCATAAAAGTTAATCCTTCCTTTCCTCCAATGCCTGGAGTTTTATTCAATAGAACAAGAGTAGGAGGATAGTTATAAAAGTTTTATAAAAATAATTCTCAACCTCTACAACCAACTGGAAAGTAAAGGCAAAAACCCCCCACATAAAATAAGAGATTACCAGTAAACAGTTAAGCCTGGGATAATGAAAGCTCTTCCAAGCATATAAACAAAGAAATTATAGGAGGAAAATAAAATTTCACCAAATAAAAATTGTTTCATGTCAAAAATCTTTAAAAAATTTAAAATTTTTATGCACCACACAATGTGAAGATTTTTGTGAAAAGTAAGAGTTGATCCCTTTATCACATAAATGAAAAGAAAAACTGAAATTTTCATAGAAAATTATCTCATAAGTAATGAAAGAAATGAAAATTAAAATGAGACCATCTGCTGCCTATAAAATACAGCTCCCTAAATAATAAAACTTAGTTAAATAGATCTTAGTAAAAACAATTTGATCATAAATATCAAGTAGCATCTAAAAATCCACAAACTGACACAATTCTATGTCTAGGACAGTTACCCAGAGGAAATCATAAAGCTTATAAGTGAATGCTAAGTGAATACTGAGAACAGAGCAGTACATAAAATGGCATATATATAAAATATATCTCCAGATTGTGGAGTTATGGGCAACTTTTATATTCTTCACATTTTTCTCCATTTATTCAATTTTCTATAATGAAAAAAATATTACTTTCATACCCAGAGTCAAAACAAACTCGAAAAACAAGCAACAATATAAGAGATATAGTGAAGTAATTTTTAAAATGCCAACGAAGAGGTCTAGAAAGTAAGTATGTCAGAAATTAAAGAGACTACCTGGAGAAAAGTAGTCAAATAAACAAAAAAATTAAAAGCTTCATAGAGTGGACCTTGAAATGCAGATAAGATTTCTTAAAAGAACGGAGAGGACATTGCACATAAAGGCTGGAAATGGGGGCCAGAGATTTAGCTCAGTGGTTCAGGTGCCTGCCTTGCAAGCACAAGGTCCCAAATTCAATCCCCAGTACCAAAAAAAAAAAAGGCTGGAAATGGAAAAAAATCAGAAACAGGCTACTACAAAGTACCATAAGAACAAAAGGTTATGAAGGAAGGTTTCTATACCCCTAAAACTCAACAGGCTAGAAAGAATAAGAGTAAAATCTTAAGGCAGAAATTCCTTACAACTGTTTAAGGTAATCTTTATCTCAGACACTAAAGCAGCTCATTTTTTTTCTAAGAGGAAACTAAACAACGTGAAAAATATTAAGCTATTATTACAGGGACTAAACAGAGGAATACTTGCTTGGAAAAGTGGGGAGCTAAATTGGGTGAATACAACCAAGACTTCTGTGTATAAGAAAATAAGGAGCAAAATAAAGTAATCCTATCTGTGGTCTAACAACAGTAAGGATCAATATGTAATGACTTGCTATACAAAGGAGACACCAAAAATGAACACAAAATTTCAAATATATAGGAAAAAATCCAGACTTGGGGCTTGCTTTGTAGGGAGAAGTTAATGTGAGACAAGTGTGAGATGCAAAAACAAACGTTCAACAGGCTACTTCAGAGACATGGGACTCAACTTGAGAGAGGTCAGAACTTTATGTACAGATTCAGAACTTCATTCCATTCAATAAATATCTTCTGAGTCCCTAAACATTGTGCCAGGAATTAAAAGACTTTAGGGACACAAAAATGAACAAATGTGACCCAGACTACCTCTAGAATTTTATAACCTAGAATCAGACAGTTACAACAAACAGTATGATTAGGGTGCTGATTAAAAGAAGGACCACCTAACTTATGAGTTTGGGGTCAAAGTTTCCCAGAGAAAATGTTAATACTAAGATGTATAGAATAAGAAAATTTTATTGGCAGAGTATGGTATGTGTAAGGTGGGGAATGAAGGCAGATGGTGTTCCATGCAGAGAGAAGAAAGTATGTGTTTAAGGCTCAGAGGTGAGAGTGGTCAGATCTAATCCAAGGAAAATATGGTAAGAACATGGAGCATGAGTGGAAGAAGGGAGATAAACTTTTTTGTGTGTGCAGCTAGGGATCAAACCCAGGACCTTGCCCATGCTAGGCAAGCACTCTCACACTGAGCTATATTTCCACCCTAGAATTCATCCCCCATTTTTCCCTAAAAATACACTGATAGAAGTTTAAAAATTCAGGAAGCACAAAGCAATATATAGTTAAGACTCTTCTATTCCTGTACCCCGAACAACCAGTTTTCATCACAGATAATCAGTGTTGTTATATTATTATTATTTTTTTAGAATATCTGAAATTTTTAATCCTTTCTTTACAGGTTACTAGATCACTTTTGATTTTAAGAAAACTGTAGGAAGTTAGTAACTGCCACAAGTGAACAAAAATATGGAACGCTTCATGAATTTGCGTGTCATCCTTGCACAGGCGCCATGCTAATCTTCTCTGTATCGTTCCAATTTTAGTATATGTGCTGCTGAAGCGAGCACATCAGTATTATTATTTCCTATGTATCCCTCCAGAGATATATTACACAAATACAATCCAACATTCATGTTCTTTTTTTCTCTTGTCTAAAATGTCCAAACTAAACTGCAAGGGATGAGCAGATACAGAATAAAAGGACTTAATAAATGGTAAGTTAGAGAAAGGGGAAGAATCAAATACATGCCTGGGTTTCTGTTGTACACAAATGGTGTGCTATTCACTGAGATTGGGGTAGCAGAGGTTCAGATATAGAGGAGGAAAAGAGCCAAAGGATTGTCCCTGGAGAATGCCATAAATGACAAAGAATGGAAAAAGGACCTTGCTAAGGAGAAATGAATGGTCAATTAGGCAAAGAACCAAAATACTGCAACATTACTGAAGGAGGACAGTTTTAAGGCATCACTATCAATGCAACTGAGGCATCTAGAGGAGAAAGAACTGGAATAATCCAGTGTGAATACGTCTTGATATCAAAAGTCATTATAGGACCCAAAACAGGTACAAACATCAACAAAGAGTTACCAAATAAACTGAAAGTAGATGCCTAAAGCCAAAAGGGGTAACAAAAACTTTTTTTTTTTTTTTTTTTTGCAGTGGTGAGGATTCAACTCAGGGCATTCTTTTAATTGTTTTTTTTTAATTAATTGTATTTTATATTTTAAGATCGAAGTCTTGCAAAGTTGCTCAGGCTGGGCTTGCATGGGACAGTCTCCTGACTCAGTCTCCCAGAGTACATTTTAAACAAACTGTGGTAAAACAGTGTTCATTCTTCCCAATAATATGGAGCTAAATATTCTAACAGAAACATGTTCACAAAATTCAATGTACTGTTTTTGAAGAAAAACAGTAGTTACCACTTATTCTTACCTGTGTCTGAATATCATCCCCTGTGACAATGTTTCCCACAGCCCGCAAAGCAGGAGAAACCACTTTATAATCATTATGCCTACAACCATAAAAATAAACATTATAGCCAACAGTTCTGTTAGTCTCTTTTCTTTACTGCTAAAATCCAATATATATATGATTCAGATGTTAGAGCAAAAAAACATCTATCTTTTTTCCCCCCTTGGTACCAGGGAGCAAACTCAGGACCTTGCGCTTTCGAGACAGGCAGTTGAACCACTGAGCTAAATCCCCAGCCCCACCTATTTTGATTATTAGGGAAATCTTACCCTGATAAAATGTTTGGTGTTCCCTAGAATACCTGTCTTTCCTCTCTATTTAGTATTTTTTTGGGGAAAAAAAGGTCGTATATCTTTCCTGATAATCTTCCCCAAGTATTTCATCACCTAGACTCCAACCCGCCCATACTTTAAAATAGACTCAATTTCCTCTTTATCTGATCTTCTGTGTTGCTGGGATAATGGAGGGCATTAATTAAATTTAGACAACACTTTAAAAATTATAGAACTCATTTTCACAGAGGTAAAACGGATGTCAACAGTTGAACTATTTTGAAAATGAAAGAATTCACACTTCAAATGCTAAGCTCTTTATAATAAACTACCAAGTGGCCTTACTCCAAAAGACCCTCCATAAAGACTTATTTATACATTCAAGAGCAGATATTAAGTCCTGATTTCAGGGTAAGTCGGTATCTTTTAACTTTTCTTAAAGCTCCCATTTCTTTCTCTCCTTTAATGCTGATTCTTCCTAAAATTGCCAACTTTTTCATATTTATTTTAAGATTTGATGACTAAAAAGAAAGATTAAAATGTAATCTAGCAGCTAAAGGATACAAAGGACTACTTTTCAGATTGTGAATACTGAGCCCTGCGGTATTGTACTGCCTTTAATCCACCACAGCTCTATGTAACTGATCTGCAAGCAGTGCAGGGCCAGCTGTATCTCAGCTGTTTTCTGTACACTACACTTATCTAGTCCACTCCACATACCACATCTCAGATATCTCTGTGCATCTACTTTTTACTTCAATTAAATTTCATGTTGCCTGTAACGGTACCATTTCCCCATTATCTTATTATTTTCTACTTCACATATTGTTGAGAAACTTATTAGTCTCAAATTATTTGTCATGAGTAAATCTTCCACTCTACTAGGCCATTACAAAGAGTAAGTGTCTGATCCTAGTCTCGATTAAGGTCTAAATGAGACAGGTAAGAAAAGACTTTTTTTTTCTTTTGGTGTTTTGAGACAGGTTCTTGCTATGTAGTCAAGGCGGGTCTCCTGCATCAGCCTCCTGAGTGCTAGGATTACAGGCGTGTACCACCATCCCCCGCAGCAATATGACTTTTTTTTTTTTGGTACCGGGGATCGAACTCAGGATCTTGCGCTTTCGAGGCAGGCGCCGGAACCACTGAGCTAAATCCCGGGCCCTTTTTTTGGGTACTGGGGATCGAACTCAGGTCCTTGCACTTGCGCAGCAGGTGATGAAACCACTGAGCTAAATCCCCAGCTGGCAATATGACTTTTGATGTCCACCGGTTGATTGTTGGTCATCTACTATGGGCTCGAATTACACAGATCAGTTTTTCCCCCAATGTTTGTGCTGAAAAACTGCTTATAGCAGAATAAGTTCTTTCTAAGTTTCAAAAAACTAAACTTGCTGGATGTGGTGGTGCACATCTGTAATCCCAGAACTCAGGAGGCTGAGGCAGGAGGATTGCTGAGAGCTCAAGGCCTTAGTCCAGGCTAGTGAGTTCAAGGCCAGAATGAACTACATAAGGAGACCCTGTTTGAAAACCAAACCAAACCAAACCAAACCAAAATATCTGACCTCAATATAAACAAGTAACAAAAGACAGTAGTAGTCCAAGGCATAACAGATCAGCAAGATGTTCAATCAACTAACATTTAAGTATTAGCAAGTGGGAAACTAATATAAGGGAGAGAAGCAGACACACATTCTTAAAGGTATCTTACATCAGTAGCTCCACAAGTCTCCTACATACTCCTGCATCAATGACTGCTTGAATTTTATCATTGGGTCCATCTGATAGATAGGAGAGGGCCCAGCAGGCATCAGCCAATACATCAGTGTCATTGACAAAAAGCAACCAGGAAAGCACATTCAGACAAGGGGAAACCTGTAAAAGGAATATGGTGTGATTATAAAATTCAACAGAAGGGCCAGGAATTTAGCTCAGTGGCACCACAGGTGCCTGTCAAGCACAAGGTCAAGAGAAAAAAAATGCAGATGTGAGGTGAGATACTCAAGGCAGCTACCAGGGAGACACCTGGTGGCTTCTGGAGTGATACTATCAAGGGCCTGACCAGTCTTTGGGACTGTCAGTGGTCTTATAGTTTACTTTGCTGAGGTCGTCAGAACCCACAGAAAATAATCTCAGGGAGCAAAGTTTTATACACACTGATCCATGGAGTGAGATTTTCTTTGTTAAAATATTCTTAGTGGACCAAAGAGGTAAGTAAACCTTCACAAATGTCAAAGTTGGGAAATACAATATTGTATGATACAGACTGTGTTAGGAGCAAAAAATGCTAACGTTTTAAGCTGAATTCAGAGCCTTTTATTGGCAGTAAGAAGACCAAATAAAACAACAAAAACTCTTTCTCTAGAAACTGATAATACTAACATTCTCAATTTTATCATAAACTATCTTTTAGTAAACAATACTGGGCCACGTGCGGTGGCACACATCTGTAACCCCAGCACTTGGTAAGCTGAGGCAGGAGGGCAACTGTGAGTTCGAGGTCAGCCTGAATTACATAGCGAGACTCTGTCTCTAAAAACCAAAAAATAAACAAATCAAACAAAAAATTATTGGTTACTACATGCTTTAACTGCACTTTTTTGCCAATTTCCCACAAATTTCCCACAATTTCCTTACCTTTGCAAATTCTGGAGGTGGACTTTTCCCTCTACAGAGATTAGACAAAGCCCATACTGCATTCCGGGTCATGGTCAGGCGGTTTTGTTTTGAAAATAACCTACAAACATGAGGGTGCAATAGTAAATTTTACAACATATTAATTCTCTGATGGCAAAAGATAAAAATTGCCTTTTATCAAGAACAGTAAAACTTCATGAATTTTAATGCAAATAATACAGAATTTTGGCACTGGAGTAATATAGGGTGCATAAATGATTTGAACAAATTAAAAAGAAAATGTATGTCATGAAAACACTAGGAAATCCAAAATGTAATGTTTTCTGAGGAACTTTCCATGTTTTTGTGACTAAAAACAGAAACAAAAAACCCACAATGAGACGAAACTTACTGCAAAAGAGGAGGAAGGATATTGCAGTCTAGGACATAGTCCCTGCACATGGTACTATCTCCAGCAATGTTGCCCAGAGCCCAGACTGCCTGTGAAAAAATTATTCATTAATGACAGTTGTATAGTTTAAGAATCATAATTCTTTCAAAAAAAGATGCTAGCACATCTTGGTAATACTTTAAGAAATTACACAGTAGTTAATATACTGTACTTGGACCATTAACATTCTTAAATCCATTCATCACGAACTCAAACGACACTGTTGTGGGACTGGGGAAAGACAATGCATACTGTTCTGAAGTGTACAACAAGCAATTAATGTGATCATCCATTAAATAAATTTTATTTAAAAGGGGAACCAATTGTTCTTTAGAGAACTCCATCCTCATTCCAAGTAACAGTCGTTAGTACAGAGCAGAGATTCAAATGGCTAGGTTGATTAAAAATATACTTTACGCTTGTTTAAAACGACAAATAGTGCAAAGAGAAAGGAAGTACAATTAAAACGCAGATAACTTTATTAAACTTGTGGAGTTGATAAATGTTCATTTCATGGATACACAGACATGTCATACTGTGCATTTTAAATATATTTAGGTTGTTGCATGTCAGTTAAAGCTCAATAAAACTAAAAGAAAAGTCATACTCATTTAGTAGTGATTTAACATATCTGATAAGTTAGTAATAAAACATTCATGTTATCTGTGTCTTTTTCTGCACAAAAGCAGCAAAGATCTATTTCAGCACTAAAGATTCTGAAACAAAAAGCTTTCATATCAGTCATGCTTGCATAGGTTAAAAAAGTCTATCTTGTGCTCACTTCGGCAGCACATATACTAAAAAAAGTCTATCTACAGAGCTCAAAATATTCCAGGCTGGAAGGTGGGCGTAGTGGTGCAAACCTATAATCCCAGCACTTAGAAGCTGAGGCAAAACTGATCACTTTGAGTCTGAAGCTAACCTGGGTTGCATAGTGACTTCAAGTGCAGCCTAAACTACACAGCAATATCGTGTCTCAAAAAAAAGGGGAAATTTCCAGGTTAGAGGGAAAACATTGTTAGAGGTGTCTACAATGAATTGTGCCCACTGTTACTAAAACAGTTTCTATTTTGGTTAAATTTAGAATTCTAGAAAATTTCCTTGTAACAAAGCATGGATTATCATGACCAAGTGGTCAAACTCAGGTCCTAAATATGACTAAAGGGGAAAATTTTACTGATCTGCTTCTGCATATTTACTGCATTTTTTTTTACCTGTTCCTGGACATCTTCAAACTCTGAGCTGAGCAATTCTATGAAGATGGGCACTGCTCCTGCCTGAATCACAATC